TTAACGTTATCTAGTCCTATTTCACTCTGCCGGATCCACACAGCTTTATGAGTGTCCTCCGGGCTCCAAGCGACCTCGTGACAGTAGGTCCCCACCTGCGACGACTGCTCCGGCAGCTCGAAGTACCTCTCTCCTGAAAGCTGCCGGCGCTCGCGCTCGCGCTTCGTGTCGGTGGGCGGCGACCTGCGCGAGCGCAGCTGCGACTCGCTCATCATGTGCATCGTCACCACCCTCAACCAGGGGCTGCGGAACGGCGGCGGCATCGGGGACATCCTGCGCGCCCCCGCTAGCTTCGTGAGTGACGTCATCATCATTTCAGCCACAGAAATCCTGCTGCTGATCATAGGCCTTTCCCCAACTATTTCTTGATTAGCTGGATGAAAGCGGCCCGCACCCAGCGTCAGACAATATTAACCTTACAATTCTGCAAGATACGTCACGATCTTGGTCCACTGCGTTGATGTCTAACAATTGACGTGCGTTCGCGCATCCTAGATAGGTCAGCTGAAAACTAATCGGTAATTCTCCAAGATACGTCAGCATCAGGTCATTTACTTTCCACTCTAGAAGGACTACCCTCTCTATAGTCCGGTCGCCGTGCACGTAGAATTTCGTCCAATGACCCCAAGCTATCCATCCTTATCGCTCGTGCGTAATTATATTGCTGTCGCGCACGCACACTCACTGCGGCCGCCCATCGCACAATCGCGACAGGAATATAATTACATGCGAGCAATAAGGATGGGTGACTTGGGGTCATTGGACGAAATTCTACGTGCTCGGCGACTGGAGTTTAATTTACTAGAGACAACTGCAGGAGTCCCCACGTGCGGACTAGATGGGTTGGGAAGGCCTGATGTTGGCATATTGCTCCCTCAGTCGCCTCCTACGTCATCCACTGAAAGAATGAGTAGTCCTATTCCACTCTGCCGGAGCCACACAGCTTTATGAGTTTCCTCCGGGGGCTCCAAGCGACCTCGTGACAGCAGGTCCCCACCTGCGACGACTGCTCCGGCAGCTCGAAATACCTCTCTCCTGAAAGCTGCCGGCGCTCGCGCTCGCGCTTCGTGTCGGTGGGCGGCGACCTGCGCGAGCGCAGCTGCGACTCGCTCATCATGTGCATCGTCACCACCCTCAACCAGGGGCTGCGGAACGGCGGCGGCATCGGGGACATCCTCCGCGCGCCTGCTAGCTTCGTGAGTGACGTCATCGTCGTCATTTCAGCCACAGGACGTCCACAACTAAACATACTACTACTAGATCTCCCCCAATGAGTTTAGCCAGTTGGAGTAGCCCGCAACAAGCACCTGACCACTTTAACCAATACTTCTTCTAGATATGTCATCATTATCAGGTCATTTAAGTTCAGAACAGACGGTGAAACGCAACTGCAACGAAACTGCAACTGCTAGTTACTTTTGAGTTGCATCTAAGTTACTGCCATAGCGTCCGTTGAGAGACCACACATGACGCGACCAGTTTGAAACTTTCAGTTTCATTCATAAGAATCATCAGAAAGTTGCAGTTACGTTGCAGTTGCGTTTCATCGTCTGTTCTGGGCCTTAGTCAACTGCAGGAGGACAACCCTGTCTTAATTTACCAGACTCAAACGCAGGATTCGGCCGATAATTCCCACGCGGGCTGGACAAGTTGGAGAGGCCTGATGTTCACATATTGCTCAGTCGCCTCCTACGTCATCCACTGAAAGAATGAGTAGTCCTATTCCACTCTGCCGGATCCACACAGCTTTACGAGTGTCCTCCGGGCTCCAAGCGACCTCGTGACAGCAGGTCCCCACCTGCGACGACTGCTCCGGCAGCTCGAAGTACCTCTCTCCTGAAAGCTGCCGGCGCTCGCGCTCGCGCTTCGTGTCGGTGGGCGGCGACCTGCGCGAGCGCAGCTGCGACTCGCTCATCATGTGCATCGTCACCACCCTCAACCAGGGGCTGCGGAACGGCGGCGGCATCGGGGACATCCTGCGCGCCCCCGCTAGCTTCGTGAGTGACGTCATCATCGTCATTTCAGCCACAGGATCCGCTGCTGAACATAGGCCTCCCCCAACAAAAAAATTTCTAGTTGCTAGTTGGAAGCGTCCCGCACCCGGCGCCTAACAATATTAACTACTCCGCGCCCCTGCTAGCTTTGTGAGTACTATATTCTTCATCATCATTTCAGCTACAGGAGGCCAGCTGCTGATCATAGGCCTTTCCCCAACTATTTCTTTGTGAGTTCGTGTTCTTCATCATTTCAGCCATTAGAGGCCTACTACTGATCATAGGCCTCCCCTTACGATTTCTTGATTAGCTGGATGAAAGCGGCCCGCATCCAGTGCCAGACAATATTAACCTATCAATTCTGCAAGATACGTCACGATCTTGGTCCACTGCGTTGATGTCTAACAATTGACGTGCGTTCGCGCATCCTAGATTGGCCAGCTGAAAACTAACTAGTAATTCTCCAAGATACGCCATCATCAGGTCATTTACTTTCCACTCTAGAAGGACTACCCTCTCTATAGTCCGGTCGCGGTGCACGTAGAATTTCGTCCAATGACCCCAAGCTATCCATCCTTATCGCTCGTGCGTAATTATATTGCTGTCGCGCACGCACACTCACTGCGGCCGCCCATTGCACAGTCGCGACAGGAATATAATTACATGCTAGCAATAAGGATGGGTGGCTTGGGGTCATTGGACGAAATTCTACGTGCTCGGCGATCGGAGTTTAATTTACTACAGGCAACTGCAGGAGTCCTCACGTGCGGACTAGATGGGTTGGGAAGGCCTGATGTTGGCATATTGCTCCCTCAGTCGCCTCCTACGTCATCCCCTGAAAGAGTGAGTAGTCCTATTCCACTCTGCCGGATCCTCACAGCTTTATGAGTGTCCTCCGGGCTCCAAGCGACCTCGTGACAGTAGGTCCCACCTGCGACGACTGCTCCGGCAGCTCGAAGTACCTCTCTCCCTCGAGCTGCCGGCGCTCGCGCTCGCGCTTCGTGTCGGTGGGCGGCGACCTGCGCGAGCGCAGCTGCGACTCGCTCATCATGTGCATCGTCACCACCCTCAACCAGGGGCTGCGGAACGGCGGCGGCATCGGGGACATCCTGCGCGCCCCTGCTAGCTTCGTGAGTGACGTCATCGTCGTCATTTCAGCCACAGGACCGACTGATGAACATAGGCCTTCCTCAACAATAAGTTTTCAGAGTAGCTAGTTGGAAGCGGCCCGCACCCGGCGCCTAACAATCTTAACTACTCCGCGCCCCTGCTAGCTTTGTGAGTTTGTCATTTCAGCCACAAGACTCCCACTGCTGATCATAGGCCTCCCGCAATAATAATTTTTCAGAGTAACTGGTTGGAAGCGGCTCCCCAACGATTTCTTGATTAGCTGAATGAAAGCGGCCCGCACCCAGCGCCTGACAATATTAACCTATCAATTCTGTAAGATGCGTAATCATCTTAACCAGGTCATAGTCTGTGGCAGTGGCAAGAGGACAATCCTCTCTAATTTACCAGAAGCAACTGCAGGATTTGGACGCAGGCTAGACAGGTTTCTAGACGGGTGTCTATGGGCGACGGTAATCACTTACCATCAGGTGATCCGTTTGCTCGTTTGCCTCCTGTCACATAAAAAGAAGGTTGGGGAGGCCTGATGTTCGCATATTTCTCCCTTAATCTCCTCATACGACATTCACGAAAAAAGTGGAGTTGGTCCTATTTTACTCTACTGGAATTACCCGGCTTGAGAGAATTTTGAAACTTTCAAAAATTAAAGACTAGGCAAAATCTTTGTTTTCTCTTTTAAACAATAACTTACAAGCAGTGATCCAAATCGCTAAATACACTATCATTCCAGGAGCCTCTGTTCGTTGCGCGCGTGGTGTACGATCTACTTTTCTTCTTCGTGGTGATCATCATCGTGCTGAACCTGATATTCGGCGTCATCATCGACACCTTCGCCGATCTTAGAAGCGAGAAACAGCAGAAGGAGCTGATACTCAAGAACACCTGTTTTATTTGTGGTGAGTTGTGCGGCTTGTGTTTTGAGACAAATATAGTATGGTCCCGTAAATGCTCAGTAATCAAGGTAGAGTTTCATATTACTACTAGAGTAAGTACCCGTAAGGCGATTATCACACTGCGCCGCGGTCCGCGTGATTTCATATAAAAAATCCCACGCGCAGACGCGTTGTCAGTGTGTTGTGCCGCGCGTGTTGTCTATACAAACTGAGGTACTTGCATACAATGATTAAAACTGTCGTCCCGCGTACCGCGGCGGAGCGCGGCGCAGTGTTCCAAGCCTATTATGGTACAGACCCGTAAGTGTCCTGTGTCTAATATGATAGGGACAACTGAATGTACTGTGATCAAAGTAGGGATCTACGTTTGTGCGTAATATCGTAGGGACTCGATCGAGGGCTAATAATGATGACAACGCCTTTCTTTATACATTATGTCCAATACATAACTCTGTATATTTATTGTTTTGTTCGCAGGATTGAACAGGTCAGCCTTTGACAACAAGACGGTCTCGTTCGAGGAACACATAAAAAGCGAACACAACATGTGGCACTATCTTTACTTCATGGTGCTGGTACGGGTCAAGGACCCCACCGAGTTCACCGGGCCCGAGAGCTATGTGCACTCTATGATCAAGGTAATGTATACTTTATTCTATAAGACTTACGGTCTAAGATCATCCTAGCTCATAGTTGAATGGCGACGGATTTTAAAGCTAGCCACCAAACCAGTGTGACGATCACGACTACTCTGGTAAGAGTGCAGCGACGAAGAAAAAGGCGAAGTTCATACTATCACGTATTGTAAAATGGTGTTTCTTATAATTAGCAATAGCTTGACAAAATAGACTGATTTTATGTCACTTTTTCACTGGTTAATAAGTTGTCCTCAAGTGGTAATTAAGTCTGGTAACAGAAGAAGGTTCTATGCTAAAACTTTTGCACGCCACGTGCGCCCGTCTATTATAGTAGCACAGCTACCACAGAATAATAAGTACTACCACAGAATAATAATAAGTACTACGTACAGAAGTTTTACTTCGCGAAGGTATTTAAAAAAAATGTATGCTCAATGTCACTAACAATATGCTGTAATTTANAATATATTAAAAAAAAAAAAAAAAAAAAAAAAAGTAAGAGCCTAATGTTGGTCTAAATGAAATACAAAATATTTTGATTCAACTCATTACTTGCAGATAATCGATTCACTATATCGATTAAATACAATTGAACAAGTAATTGAATGAAAATACATATTGCTCATCCCTAAGGTAGATTAGATTCTTTTGGGCAGAGATTTTTTTGTAACTTTGTGATTAATTGTGATAAATACGAATAAAGTATGGCACATACCGTTATTAATTAATAAAATATTCCTTTCTGTGTACGTTATAAAGCAATCAAGAGTTCTTGTAAAATCTATTTCGTAAGAGGTTAGGAAGCCAACACTACATTTTACATCTTTTTTATCATCTTGAAATGAACAACGAGAAAAGAAATGCTCGTGGTCGAGGCCGAGGCCGTGGCCGTGGTAGGGGCAGAGGCCGAGGCCGAGGCAGGGGCAAGAAAGTGCCCAAAGTGATGTCTAGTGACGAAGAGGAATGCTCTGTAGAAGAAACTTCGCAAGATCAAGAAGAAGTGGTCACTGAAGAACCTAAAGAAGAAATTGAGCAGGCCGAGCCGCCAAAATGTAAGTAATACTAGTAGTTTAAAAGCTATGTCATGAATTATATGGTAATCATGTACAACAATTTTATTTCAAAGAAAATTTTAATACCATTTGTGTTGTTTTTGTGTTTGTATACAAAATGAGTCAATTAGTGAATACAAACATTTCCATTTAGCGTTATCTTCGTTTTATCTGCGTAATTATTTGATAATCCTGTGATCAGCCCAATGTTATCAGATACTAATATTGAGTTTCATTACTCGTTTAATATTGCACATGTGAATATGTCCACAGTGGAAGTACCGTCGGACATATCTCAGCTGGAAGCCCCAGTGTTCACAACTCTACAACGAGGCCCCCCAGAGCCAATGTTGCGTCTCGATTGGAGCCACCGTGCAAACCTAATCGGGGAGAAAGTTCTGAACCCCATGATCTATTGCTGTGATATATGCTCAAAACCTATTCTTATTTATGGACGTATGGTGAGTTTTATATGGTATTATTTTACAATGTGCATAAATTATCTTGAAAACATTATCTTTTTTAAAATGATAACTATTATTTTACAGATACCATGCAAACATGTGTTTTGCTTATCATGTGCAAGAGCTGAGCATACTCACTGTCCGAGATGTAGAGAAAAGGTACTTTTTTATTCAAAAAATAACCGAGTTAAACTGTAAAACTATTAACAGGCCTTATATTATAAATCTTTCACGTTTAATGCAGGTGTTGCGAGTTGAACAGACTGGTCTCGGCACAGTTTACATGTGCACTCATTCTGGGACTCGATATGGGAACACAGGATGCAGGAGAACATATCTTTCACAGGCAAGTTAAAATTATTAGGAAAATGAATTTTACACTTAAATAAATTATTAAATTGTGTAAATTCTCTTTTCTGTCATCATCATTATCACTTCAGCCATAGGACGTCCACTGCTGTACATAGGCCTCCCCCAATGATTTCCATGTTGATCGATTAGTAGCGGCCTGCGTCCATCCATCCAGGACTTCTCTGTGTGAATTACTGTAAAAAAATGTGTTCATTTTCATGTACAGAGAGACCTGCAAGCCCACATCAACCACAGACACGTTTCGGCAGCTGGTGACGTCAAGCCTGATCCTGAACCACCTTCAACCAGTTCTGTGGCCATTGTGAAACCTTTATCTGTAAGTTATTTATATTTATTTAACTGGATTTTTTAAATTACCTTAGATTGTTGATAGTGGAGGACGTGTTTATTGGGCATTGGCCACAGTTCCAGCTACCCATTTCTGTATTTTTTCTCACTCTCATCAAATGATGATTCTTTGCAAAAGAACGAGATGACATCGGAAATGGGTAGCTGGAACTCCTGCCTATAGTACAAAAAAAAATAGTTTTCATTTAAATATTCATAGAATCTAAAACCCTATCCACAATATAGTGTTGTACTTTCATGTGTATATGCAAGATTTTTATTTACTGTGTTACTAATAAACTGTATTATAACCTGTACGGATATCAGTTTATTACAATATTTTGATATAATCAAAGACATGGAATTGTCCACATTCTGTTTATGCCGGCTGTACACTCGTCCGAGAAATCCCAGATTGTCCCGAATTTCTCGAGACAATCTCATATGCGAACACGGGAGCGAGAGTGAACGAGCGACAGCGAGACACCGCGAGAGTGAGCGAGCGACAGCGAGACACCGCGAGAGTTAGCGAGCGACAGCGAGACACCGCGAGAGTGAGCGAGCGACAGCGAGACACCGCGAGAGTGAGCGAGCGACAGCGAGACACCGCGAGAGTGAGCGAGCGACAGCGAGACACCGCGAGAGTGAGCGAGCGACAGCGAGACACCGCGAGAGTGAGCGAGCGACAGCGAGACACCGCGAGAGTGAGCGAGCGACAGCGAGACACCGCGAGAGTGAGCGAGCGACAGCGAGACACCGCGAGAGTGAGCGAGCGACAGCGAGACACCGCGAGAGTGAGCGAGCGACAGCGAGACACCGCGAGAGTGAGCGAGCGACAGCGAGACACCGCGAGAGTGAGCGAGCGACAGCGAGACACCGCGAGAGTGAGCGAGCGACAGCGAGACACCGCGAGAGTGAGCGAGCGACAGCGAGACACCGCGAGAGTGAGCGAGCGACAGCGAGACACCGCGAGAGTGAGCGAGCGACAGCGAGACACCGCGAGAGTGAGCGAGCGACAGCGAGACACCGCGAGAGTGAGCGAGCGACAGCGAGACACCGCGAGAGTGAGCGAGCGACAGCGAGACACCGCGAGAGTGAGCGAGCGACAGCGAGACACCGCGAGAGTGAGCGAGCGACAGCGAGACACCGCGAGAGTGAGCGAGCGACAGCGAGACACCGCGAGAGTGAGCGAGCGACAGCGAGACACCGCGAGAGTGAGCGAGCGACAGCGAGACACCGCGAGAGTGAGCGAGCGACAGCGAGACACCGCGAGAGTGAGCGAGCGACAGCGAGACACCGCGAGAGTGAGCGAGCGACAGCGAGACACCGCGAGAGTGAGCGAGCGACAGCGAGACACCGCGAGAGCTCCCGAGTACTCTCTCGCACTCGGCCTGTCTCGTGGGCTCTCGTCATGTACAGCCGGCATTATAATCCACTGCTAACTAATATTCGTACGTTCGTTTCAGCCGAAAGACGTCCACTGCTGGACAAAGGCCTCCCCCAAAGATTTCCAGATCGTCGGTCCACCAAGTGGGAGGCCTGCCCACGCTACGTCTTTCGGCTCGTGGTCGCCACTCGAGAACTTTCCTGCCCCAGCGGCCATCAGCTCTACGAGCTATATGCCCCGCCCACTGCCACTTGATTTTAGCGATTCTGCGGGCTATGTCAGTCACTCTGGTTCTCCTACGGATCTCCTCATTTCTGATCTAATGTAGAGTCCTTTGATTCCCCAGATGGCGCCGACTTCGAACGACCCGCGCGGGCCGGGCACGGGCGCGGGCGGCGACCGCACCCGCCGCACCAACCTCATCACCGTGCCCATACACGACCAGCCCGAGCAGCATAACTACTATAACTACTATCCGGTAAGTTTACATACAGATTGACATTTAGACTGGTTTTTGGGATGTGAGACGCGTGCAATAAATCCTTTCAAACATTAGCGTCATCGTCATGCCCATGCATTGACGACGTTCGAAAAACTAGTGGGTGGGGTGAGGGGGTTGTTACTCGGGTGAAGTTGTGGGAAAAAGCTAGTATGTAGTTATTAAATTGTTTTCCCGCCAGCCGTGAAGGCAGCTAGTATTATTGTGGGGTTCTCTGTCAGAAGAGCAATGTGCTTACAATACCCAGTATAAACCTAATTTCAGTTAGCTCCGATGAAGTGAGTTTAGTTTATTGGGCCAAGTAGTTTATATTCCTACTTCAGAAAGCAACCACCTATCTAGGCCCGTACAGACTATTTGTAGCGATGTTGGTGATTAGAGAATTTGAGCTCCTTGAACTGCTGTTTTTGCACTCGTATGAGCAAAAGTGAAGTGAGCTATCAATATTCTTGCAATTCAAAATGTATCCAACCATGTATACTTACTCCACAGCAGCAGCCGGTGGGGTCGGTGGCGGGTGTTTCTGGCGTCTCTGGCGTGGGCGGCGTGCTGACGGCAGGCGTGGTGCACAACGTGTCGGTGCCGCCGCCCTACTACGCGCCGCCCTACCAGCCGCCCGCGCCCTACCAGCCGCCGCCGGGTAACTACGCTGTTTAACTGTAACTGGGATGAAACGTGGTGGAAAGTGATGATCAGTAGCCTTATTCAAATTTCTTTTGTGCTCAACCCAAAGCTAAACTGGTCGAGAATGCTTTAGTGCATTAAGTTCGCCTTATGCACAAATTTATTTTGGCATTAAAGTTTAAATAAATAAATAAATTCACGTAGAAAATCTTCAACGACAACAAATCGCTGAATGCGACCCTATCGAGTAATCGTTCTATCGAAATTACCCTTATGAATACGGATTTAGAACTGTTTTTCAATGGGACGACGTAACAAAACGTCAATGACAACAAATCGCTGAGTTGCGATCCTATGGAGTAATCGTTCTATCAAAACAACCCTTGTGAATACGGATTTAGAACTGTTTTACAATGGGAGGACTTCTGAATGTCAGCGAGATCTTGACTGTCAAAATACGTGAATTAGGCCACAGAACTCAACCACTGAGAATTTGACTATCTTAACTACAACTCCCGAAACAGGATGTTAATATTTAATTTGCATAGACAAGACGTAGCGAAGAAATAAAAAAAAATTAAATGGTGATTATTAATGTGATTCATGTGATCGCACAATAAAAGTAGCGATTCATATTTCAGCGTTAGTTTATTGTATGTAGTTACAATGCTACGGAAAAATTATCTTCCTGAACTCCTCTAACACGTATGTGTAGTCACAACTGAGTAGAATTTTTTACTGAGTCAGCATATCTTGGCTTTCAGTCATCAGTTCTTTACAAATAACAATAAATATCAATGACGGCTATCGTTTTAGCGCTCACCAGTTAGCGCCACTGTAGAGTAAGGTCCTGTCACTTGCTAGTCGCGAAGACAGTGGCACCAACTTGTGAGCGCTAAAGTGGTAGGAGGACTATCGCATTTGCACTCATCAAGATGGCGCCACTGTAGAGTAAGGTCCTGTCAATCGCCAGGGGTGCCAACTGTTAAGTATAAAAACGATAGCCCTCATTGCATTTATATACTCAACCCAGTAACAGAACTGTATCGAATGAAAAGAATAAAACTCGGATTTGTGAAGACTTGCGACTGTCGAGCAAGGAACGAAACTAGTTACTAATTTAATCTTTTATTAAATTTCCAGGTAGTAGTATAGCAACAAACGTATCAGCCCCGCCAATGGCGGCGGGCGTAGCGAACCCGGCGCTGAGCTCGCCGCGCTGGCCCGACTCCTACCCGCAGCAGTGGCCGCACAACCCACACCATTATTACAGGTAGGTTAGAGCTCCTTTTTAGGGTTCCGTAGCCAAATGGCAAAAATCGGAACCCTTATAGATTCGTCATGTCTGTCTGTCTGTGAATTTTTTTTTCATCAAACACATACGTATGGGGTATCTATGGATAGGTCTTCAAAAATGATATCGAGGTTTCTAAAATACTTTTTTTCTAAACCGAATAGTTTGCGTGACAGACGCTTCCAAAGTGGAAAAAAGTTGGTCCCCCCCCCCCTCTAACTTCTAAAATAAGATAATGAAAAATCTAAAAAAAACATATGATGTACATTACTATAAAAACTACCAACGAAAATTGTTTTGAACGAGATCTAGTAAGTAGTTTTTTTTTAATACCTCGTAAATCGTAAACCGCTTATTACCGCGTAATCTTTCATACTAATAACTTAAATAAAAAGTAATAATTTTAATTTCATAAATCAATGGTACGGAACCCTTTGTGCGTGACTCCGACACGCACTTTGCCGGTTTTTAACTAACAACATAGAGTATCACTATTGTACGTAAGCTGCTTGATGACTGGCAGTCGCAACTGTCCTGCACTAAGGCTGGGTTGCACCATCTTACTTTGACTTTGACAAACGTCACAAAAACCCACACCATTATTACAGGTAAGTTAGAGCTCCTTTTTGACTAGCAATAGAGCATCACTACTGTAGGTAAGCCACTTGATGACTGGCAGTCGCAACTGTCCTGCACTAAGGCTGGGTTGCACCATCTTACTTTGACTTAGACAAACGTCAAAAATCTGTCAAACTCCACACAAAAAACGCTGGTTATCGTTATAGTTACGGTCAAGGTAGCGCAGGTGCGCAGAAAACCTTAGAGGAGGCCTTTGTCCTGCATTGGACGTCATTCGGCTGAAACCAACGAACGAACGAAGGTGGTGCAACTCAGCTTAAGTGTAGGCGCACACTGGGCGACAAGCCGAGCATTCGCTGTAGCGTGTCGCCCAGTGTGTGCCTACACTAAGCAAGTAGCTGGAAAACTGCTACACTTACCTTTGTATGGTCAAACGATTTTGAAACGTCAAGTGACAAAAATAAAAAAGCTAACAGCCCAGTATTGCTTGCGACCTCCTCGTCTCCGCACCGCTCCGCCTTGGTGGAAACCGGGCTTTACATTATACATTTATGACACAATCCACACCAATTTTCATCGTTTGTTTCTAAAGCCCGGTCTGTGAGCCGGCGCGACTGCGACAGACGCCCGCAGTGAGTGTGCGAGCGCGACAGCAACATAATTACGCGCGAGCGATAAGGATGGGTAGCTTGGGGTCATTGGACAAAATTCTACGTGCTCGCAGACCAGATTATAGCTTGTTTCTTGCTCGCAGGTAGCGGCGCCCGCCCCGCGCTCCGCGGTACGATGCGTACGCGCCGCGCCCGCGTTTGTGACGCGACACTCAGCTTAGTTCCCTCTTCTCCGTTGAGTGAGGGAAACGGGTGGGCCCAGATATCTTCTCAGGATGTGAATGGACACGTGACTGCAACTACAAAGACTGCTTGATGAATCAAAGTGCAAGATAGTGCGACTACAATCTAGCCAGAAGACCGTCTGTCTCCCTTTCATTTTAGCCCAGATATCGTCTCAGGATGTGAATGGACACGTGACTGCAACTGCAAAGACTGCTTGATGAATCAAAGTGCAAGATAGTGCGACCACAATCTAACCAGAAGACCGTCTGTCTCCCTTCCATTTTAGCCCAGATATCTTCTCAGGATGTAAATGGACACGTGACTGCAACTACAAAGACTGCTTGGTGAATCAAAGTGCAAAATAGTGCACCAATCTAACCAGAAGCCCGTCTGTCTCCCTTCCATTTTAGCCCAGATATATTCTCAGGATGTGAATGGACACGTGATTTTAACTACAAAGATTGCTTCGTTGATGAATCAAAGTGCAAAATAGTGCGACAATCTAACCAGAAGCCCGTCTGTCTCCCTTCCATTTTAGCCCAGATATCTTCTCAGGATGTGAATGGACACGTGACTGCAACTACAAAGACTGCTTGATGAATCAAAGTGCAAAATAGTGCCGCGACTACAATCTAAACAAGGCCCTCTCCCTTCCATTTGACTTCTTCCACTTAGTCATGCAAGCGAATTTATTTCCTTACTTCCAAACTAAAAAATATTAGGCAAGAAGATGAACAGTGCTTAGCAATGGAAAATTGACAAATGAATTAAGTTTGTGAACAATGTAACAGTGTTTACGCAAGAGTTGTACAAAACTGAAGTGTTGCATGTGCTGTACTCTTACTAAAGGCATCTAAAGGCTAGCAATACACGCCGGAAACGTGTTAACAGTACCCTTAGACAATGTATGCAGCAGTGCACTCAAAATATTAGAAAGAAAATGTACCGTACTGGTATTATAGGTGTACCAGAATCTCATGGCAAACAAAAATATTGGAAAAGTGTGTTTTTCATATGGCAATTGTCTATGGTTTAATTGTCACCTGTCAAAGAAAATTATGAAATCTGTCAGCCGCTGCAAAATTTTTGTAATCTCTTTTTGACTATTTGTTATTTTTCTGAAAAATTCGAAAAAGTTCAAGCAACGCATATTGTTTTCAATGTGAATTGTAAAATAAGGCATAATTCAAAGTCAATCTTTGATTCTAAAGCGCGTCGTCGAGTTGACAGTAAGTTGGACTGAAATGTTTTGATACATTTAGTTTATTACCCAACTGCGTCAGAAGGAGGGTTGTGTTTTTTTATATTATTCTTACTTAATAGCTGCTTTATCGGGGTTTTCAGGTATATCTCACAAATTGGTGCAGATGTTATGACCATGTAAAGAAAATTGAAAAAGTTTTATTCAAAGCAAGATTGAATAATGGAGAAGTTTCCAATTTTTTTCTTTTAAATAAACTTGAAATAAATATAAGTAAAACTAATAATAATTGTGAAAAAATCATGAAAATATCTCTACAAATAAATAAGTTACAGGGCCCTAAAGTTGCGCATAACTATTCACGCCATTTTGATCGGTGTATTTACGACAGTCATTCGGAGTACAAACAGTAAATCACCCCTGATCCAGCCAGTGCTATTGACAGGTTCATTTTTTAAATCTAGCAGTTTTAAATTTTTCGCTAGGGTCACTCAAGATTCTTTCTTAGTAAAATTTTGTAACCTTTTTTTAAAATATCCCAGACCTGGTCATATACAAAAAGAACGGCACCGCCTATGTTTCAGTTCCACGCGAAAATATGTAGGTAATATAAATAATTTATTTCTCAGACATTTCTTGATCGATTTAAAAAAAAAACTTCACCGTCTTATTAGTTTTGGTATATATTTTAATCCCATTCAGAGAAATATCGTGTTTTTAACATCAGGGACTTCTCCATTGAAATGCTGGAAGAGCAATTTATTAACAGTACCTCTTTATCTTGATCATCTGTCTATTGAAGAACAAGAAATGCAAGTGGAGTTCTTAGAATCGTTTTCTAGTTCTGAATGAAGTGATAAGTTAAAAGTATGATGCATAATAAAATTAGTTACTTAAAGTAATATACGATTTATTTAATTTCCAAGACATTTTCCTATGTTAAAAACCTGATGTCTAACAACATTCTTCATACACATACCTACCTAAAAATGTATATTCGTACTTCATGTTCAGTAATAAAAGTAAAAAATTCAACAGTATCAAGATCCTTTATTCCAATTTCCCCAGTATTGCTCTCAACAAAGTTTATTTTCCCTATTTGCCATGAGATTCTGGTACACCTATACAAAGTTAAGTTACTTAAGTGAATGGTTGAGTGTATTCTGTGTTGTGCTGTGTGACTTTACTGAGTCAACTTAATAAAGCAAGACTAGAAATGTTTGGTGAGAAAATGATTCGAACTTGTAAATAGTATGTTGTTAATGTCCCTATTAAATTATATTCCTAAGTAAATAGAATAATGTATCCTGATTGAATATGTTCAATTAATTGCAGAAAGGAATTGTTTTTCAATCTATCCATAGAATAAAGGCTTGTGATGATATAGCCAACAAGTAATGTTTTTAGTTGCTAGATTTGACACCATCAAGTCAATGTACATGGTAAAACATATTTGATATGTTCTTGACATTGTCTTGCATCAGAATATTTTTGTTGCACTGCAAATTACCAAACAAAGTGCTAAGAATATTTACGACTTCATTGGAATTACTATGTATTCTACACATGTCTATTCTTTAGATAGGTTGATTTTGATGTAATAATGGCTCAAAGGATCTGCATAATAACTATCAATATGAAAGTGATGTCTGGAATTTGTATTAAGTTTCTACTTCCTTAACAAATGTTGCCCTATGGCAATTTGTCTTTATACAGGGTGTCCCGTAATGTAACGTCAAGCCGGAACTGGGTGTTGAGGCAAGTTATGCTGGTTATCAGAAAAATATAAAAAAAAAACTATGTGGCATATTTTCAAAATAATGGGCATTTAAAAAAAACAAAAATTTTTACTCCAGGTGACGGTCTTTTTACTCGTGTTGCCACAAATCTTCACTTTTCCAAATTTTTTTTTTGTTATGTAACCCTGAATAATGCTTCTCTAAATTGTTATCAAAATTACAAAACCAGCTGCTCCAACTTGGATGAAAAAAATACATTATTCCCAAAAAAATTTTCAAAATAAAAATTTTGCCTAGTTTAAACTGACTGTACTGAAAAAAAATTGTACTACGCGAGTGTGGCAAGTGACGTCATAATTTGGCGCATTTAGTAAGGATTCCAAAATGGTATAACACTTGGTAAATTCTTGCTGTAATTGACGACAATTTTTGGTTTTTTGGAAATAATCCCGTTTTTAACTTTATCTACCTTGGTTAAAAATTATTATTCTAATGTGCCCAAAATTCAAGTTTCTGGCCTAAATGAGGTGGAGAAGCCATTTTAAAAGGTATGAGCGGGACGGAGAGGGCCATCTTACCAAGCAGGGATGTTATGGATATCCGTAACCGTAACCGAAACTATCGGATATCCGAAATAAAAAAATATCCATAACCGTAACCGAAACTGATTCAAAAGTTACGGATAGTTTCGGATAAAGGCAGAGTCTAAGGGTAAAATTATTCCAAACTGCAAAACTCTATGAAATCTGCAGTATACACGCCGCAGCAGCAATGTCGCGCTGCCGATTTCATAGAGTTTTGCAGTTTGCGGTCTGCGGCCCGTCTTGGAATTGTACCTTAAATCTTAATATTTGTTACCAACTTGTCTGGCATTCCCTGGCACCATCTAATATGCCAGCCTGTTTAACCTTTATCATACATAGGTGTTCTCTTAGTTGGTACATAAAGTAGCTATGTGGGTCACGCAGCATCTTGCTATTTGAATTATACCTACATTTTTGAAATTCTAATAATTCCGTAACCGAAATTATCCGAAACTTTCGGATAATCTGAAATGATTTCATATCCGTGACCGTAACCGAAACCGGTATAATATTATTCTAATATCCGTAACCGTATCCATAACCGAAACTTCATATCCTTATTATCCCTGTTACCAAGTACAAGTGCAGGCAGAGCAGGTAGTAACGGCGCGCACGCACGGGTGACTTTTGTCACAGTATGTCAACTACTAATTACTGTCATGGTGACAAAAGTTTCTGTGACTGACTGTACGGTAGTCAGTCACAGAAACTTGAATTTTGGGCACATTAGAATAATAATTTTTAACCAAGGTAGATAAAGTTAAAAACGGGATTATTTCCAAAAAACCAAAAATTGTCGACAATTACAGCAAGAATTTACCAAGTGTTATACCATTTTGGAATCCTTACTAAATGCGCCAAATTATGACGTCACATGCCACACTTGCGTAGTACTTTTTTTTTTCAGTACAGTCAGTTTAAACTAGACAAAATTTTTATTTTGAAATTTTTTTTGGGAATAATGTATTTTTTTTATCCAAGCTGGAGCAGCTGGTTTTGTAATTTTGATAACAATTTAGAGAAGCATTATTCAGGGTTACATAACAAAAAAAAAATTTGGAAAAAGTGAAGATTTGTGGCAACACGAGTAAAAAGACCGTCACCTGGAGTAGAAATTTTTGATTTTTTTTAAATGCCCATTATTTTGAAAATATGCCACATAGATTTTTTTTTATATTTTTCTGATAACCAGCATAACTTGCCTCAACACCCAGTTCCGGCTTGACGTTACATTACGGGACACCCTGTATATCTGCTATTGTCATGTGAACTTGGCTAAGCTATTCATATAATTATTTTTATACCTACCTCTTGAAATATAATTTCCCGGTTGAACTTCCACTATATCTTCCTTGTATATAACTTTATTTACTTCTCGAAATATATAAATAATACTATTAATTGAATATTGTCATAATGAACATCCTAGTTAATACAAACTAGTTAATTTTATTGTCTTATGATAAAATGTTGGTAATGTCATTTTAGACATCCATACAAAATCCTCATTTTGTACACTTTTTCATAGTTGTGCAATAAAAATTATAAATGTAAATATTTAGCATTTTATTTACAATTAACTTGTGCCCTTTGTTCATAAAACCATGTTTAGGAAAGAATATAATAAAAGCAACGAAACTGAAGGTTCCATTTTATAAAAAATAAGAAGATAATCTGTAATAAGTAATTGGGTATTTTTAATATCACTAATCAATATCAATAATATTTACAATGTCTCACTCCATCCATTCTCCCATCTTGACACCATTAACAAATGCATTAAAATCTGCAAAAAATATTTCGCTTTTTGACACCACACAAACATGAACCATACTTACATAACATTACAATATAAAACAAAATACTAGTCGTATAAATTCAGTGTCTGAAGAAATGCTGCTGTACAGTGTGAACATAAATAATATTACAAAAAAATACGAAGAGAAAGAAAAAATACTACAAATTATTTGGACAAACAGTTTCTTTGGGGATATTTATAACTTAACCAATTGGAAATTTCAAATTTTAACGACGAAGCCCGACACTCAGGCTCCACTTAATATTATGTATGTGTGTAATACAGTAAATGAGCTTTATCCATTTCTGCCATCACACCCACAGAAGTTGGTGTGTGGCAATGACAAAAAAGTACACATCAAATCATTTTACTGAGCATAAAAGGTAAACTCAACGGCAATCATTAGTAACATATTGACCTTGGCATTGGACTTATTCCTTGCTCAATAAGAATTATTTTTGCTGTTCAACGGTAACGTCTGATTTCCCATCAAGTATACCATAATCAACACAAAAAGATCGACTGTGGTTCGACTTGGACCTTCAAATACTACTAAACACAGCCTTAGCAGTTCGGGCAGCATCATTATCTGTATTCGTTTAGAATTCGGATGAATCGCAGTGGCTTCTGCGACTATTTTGTAACAGTGGTTTTTTTGTGGCATTTCAAGTAAAACCACTGTGACAAAATCTCAACTTTAGGAATTGTCAGTTGTTTAAAGCGCTTTCACATTAGGTGCAGGCGCGCGACTTTAAGCGCGGCACTCGCACTTAGTCGCGTGACTGGACTGCATATTAAAACAGCTTTCGCGGTGTAGCGGCGCGGGAAAACAATGTCGCGAATAACTTTATTACGCGCCAAAAGACAAGCTATACTGCAAACAAATAAGATGATATTCATAACATGACAGTCTGGCGAAGACTGCTTGAAACATAATGGTGTGTCACGCTACTAACCTGCGTAGTAAACGGATTCTGAACGCACCTGCGTCCTAATGTGACAGCGGTAATCTGACGCGAGCGCGAACAATCGTTAGTTCAGTGAATAGTCTTATCCTAGGTTAGTATCTGCGTGGATCATGACTGTTTGGCCGGCACCGCGGGGTCAGTACTGAGATCTACAAGGGTCGCTTCCGCGGGCGCTGGCGGCGTTTGCGCGGCCGCTTCAGACGAGAACTGAGGAATCACGTGCGACTGCTGCATTTTACGCACAGTCTCCATATTCACTTTTGTTGACAAGTTCTTTTGTCTCGTCTGCTCGGACGTCTTCGACAATCTCTCGCTCAATGCTTTGAGTGCAATTTGTCTGAAAAGTAAGTAAACAGAATCGTTAGAATTAAATCATAGTCATAGTTGTTGTTAAGAAGGTAAATCAAAGATAGGTTAATGTTGATATTTGGTATCCTTGATGATTTAAATTAAAAATTCTGTAACTTTCCATTTACCACTTTTTTAACCTTCAAACTTCTTCAGCTTGAAAAAATCAATTGCCTTAGGTCAATTACTATAGCTAGAAATCGAACTGTGGGTTCACTTTTCATGATTTATCATTTTAATCAATCCTTTATTTCCCTTCACTTCACTTTAACAGGTTTTACAACCTACTTTACTGTCACTAAACCTCCAAAATTACCTTCTCCTCTCCATATCTTGCGGCTCCACTCCCGGCATGGTAATACTAACTCCCCGGGGACTCAGCGCGAGGTGCACTCGCCGCGGCGTCTGCGTGCACAGCCCCATCCGCACGAGGCAGCGGTGCGGCGGGCCCAAGATGCCCCGCACGACCGGTTGTAGCACCGTTGGGAAGAAACTGGAATTGTAAATGTTTGTTTGTGGACTTTTTTCAACAACAACTATTAGAGTAGGTGCACACCGTTGATTTTTAGTTGGCCGATAGTTGTGCCAGATTTTAAATTGTATGAAGAAACGGCCAAATCGAATCGGTGTAGTGTGCGCACTCCCATACTGATCAACTGCCCGACTAAACTATCGGCCGACGAAAAATCAACGGTGTGCGCCTACTCTTAATCTTCTTCTTGTCATGTCGACAACAGACCTATACAGTGTCAGCTCAAAACTCTGCTACAAGAGTGGTGTTGTAAGTTTTAAAGTGTTTTGTTATCACTGCTATTAATTAAATGTGTCATTAACAGCCATTTCCTCATAATTTTATAGACCAATTATGTGTGTGTTCTACTCATAGTATGCATGAAGATCTTAATGAATAACAAACTGGATAACATGTTTACGTACACAATTTTCAATTGAAATATATTTTAACATTTACCACTTTATGACATCATTTTACTTCTTAATCTTCACTTATGGATTCATATGATTTAAGTACAGTGGAGTATAATCAATTTATCTATGAGTCAAAACCAGATATTGAAATAGTGTTGTTTACAAATCGCACTCATTATAAAATTGATAATAATTTTTCTATTTTTTAGAATAACATTTTGCCAACTCACAAGTAAATTGGTTCCACTATACAGTAATCATAACACTTTATAGACAACAGTAATCATGACGAGAGGACACAGTAATACTTTGAAAGTTTCTTACTTGTCAAAACTAAAGTTTTCTGCCATATCTCCCCTGGTGCCACTACTGTGCTTCTGCCAGAACCTGAGGTACATCCATGACAGGATGGTTCCGCTCCCCCACATGCACGGGTAGGTGCCTTCCAGCGCCCCCACCGCCCACAGGATTATTGCCACGATTAGGAGCAGCAAAGGCAGTGATCTGTTTGTGAGTTTACCTGAAAAAGTCACACAATACCAATATTATAACAATAGCCAGGTACTGACAGATTATAGAAACATTAGTTATCAAGATTCATCTCAGTTTGTTGCCAACACACTCACCTAAGGGTGTTTTTATCAACAAGTGATCTGGCATAATCTGCTTCACGGCGACGCTGACCGCGGCCAAGTATCCGGCCAGCCCGTGCACGTGAATATCGAACAGGTACGACGCCTGCCCAGTGCAAGCGAAAATCACCAAATAATAGAACGTAGTCAGGAACGCAACACCTACGTTCGTCAAAAAGAAAAACTTCATCATCTCTTTTTGACCCCATAGTGGCTCGATCAATTTCCCACACAGGCCTACTGTCACAATATCGATGACCACCTCCCACAAATGTATTTCAAGAAACCAGAACGTGAAAGTGGACCACAGTTGAAAAGAAGGTGGCAACAAATACCCTGGAGTTACACTGAGAACGTCTATTACATCGTCAGAAAATGACAAAATGTACCCTATTATCACAACTACACATATGAATTTCACTGACGGTGACGTGTTTCCCAATAATGCGGAAAATTGTTGTCGTAAATACGGTAAATTACGGCTGAACACTCTGAGAGCAGCCATTTTTGTGATGGATGAGCAATATTTGACGTTTAATAGACTGTCAAAAATGATAAACTTGTCAAAAGTGCGTTTCGTTTTACGCATTCAGTGATTAGGTAGACTGATAAGTGACATTTCCGATTGAAACGGTAAAATAACGTGGTACTCCTGTCAAATTACTTGACCTTTTTTCCAAAGAAAAACATTGAAAAACTTTCCAGTTTTTTCAGGTTTTTACCTATTTTCATGTTTATTTAAATAAATGTTATTCTTGAGACTTATTAGCGGTGCTCTTCTGGTAAGTTATTTGAAAAATATTCATTGTATTATGATTGAATTTCCAAGTAGCCGGGGTTCTAAAACATGATTTGGTCGAATTCCAATCCTTGCATTTTGTTTGTAGTTGCGTGCAGCCAATATCTGGACTGGTGGCGTCATGGCAAGCAGCGGGAAACTCTGCAGCAGTGCAAGGATGAAGTACTTATCGCAATCGGAGGCGGCAGCGCTGGATCAAGAGTTGTTCAATGAATACAAGTTCAGCGTTGATCAGTTGATGGAACTGGCTGGTTTGAGCGTTGCTACAGCTGTAGCGAGGGCCTATCCTCCTTCCTTGTTAGTTTTTAAATATGTTTATGTCTTTGTTTGAGTATATTTTGATCTATTTTATCAGGCAGTCTCTGATGTGCATTTATTTTATTTACAGATATGGCTCAGCCCTTATTGTATGTGGACCAGGCAATAATGGAGGGGATGGCTTAGTGGCTGCTAGACACATGGTTCTTTTTGGGTATTCTGTGGCAGTATATTACCCGAAACATACACCTAAACCACTTTATGAAAACTTGCTAGAACAATGTAAAAGGTTTGGTGTTAAAATTGTAGATGATCTACCACACCCGAATGATTTGAAGAACGAATATAAACTGCTGGTAGATGCATTATTTGGTTTTAGCTTTAAACCACCAGTTAGAGAAGAATTAAGGCCAGCTTTAGATGCCTTGATAGATGGTGCTTTACCTGTTTGCAGGTAAGTGTCCCATAACTTTCCAGATGAGACAAGAACACACTTCCTTCCTTTCCTTCCTTCAACCCTTTTGTAATATGCAATTATTCAGAAATTTCCGGCCTCTATGAAGATTATAAAAAAAAAATTTTTTTTCAGTGTGGACATACCTAGTGGATGGGATGTTGAAAAAGGACCAGGATCAGACCGTGCCCTGAAACCTGCAATGCTCATATCCCTCTCAGCCCCAAAGCTTTGTGCAAAACCAGAGATATTAGATAATGCTAAGCATTTTCTTGGGGGCAGATTTCTGCCACCAGGCATAGTTTCCAAGTATAATTTGACCCTGCCATCTTACCCTGATCAAGACCAAGTGGTGCAACTTTCATGCTAAAATGGTTTGGAATCATAATTTCTAGATATTCTTGGACATAGTCCTATTATCATGTAGTCTGAAACTAAGCAAGCAAAGCTTGTACTATTTGGGCATCAGGCTTAGAGGTTTTATTAATCTAAGGCATCAGGCATTGCCAAACAAAGGGAAATAAAAAAAATCTTGAAATGTGCACTAGTTTTCTGCATTTTGTTTCAAGTTGGGGATTAGTCATAAGATTAAATAAATAAGTTTTTGATAAATCCTGGTTTTTATTTAGTATGTAGTGTTGATAACTAGTCCATGTTCCTAACTTCAGGTTCCTTATGGCTCAGTACCTACCTAAAGTAACTACCTGAAATACCCACTACAAACAACTCAGACTTCAAAAATATTATCCAATGGCATAAAATGTAGTCCAACTCCCAAGAGAGGATAAAAAAAAGTATTTTCGCTTCAGTCAAATGATGTCCACTGCTGGACAGCGGCAAAAAAAGTGTATTTTAATATTATTCGGCCTGTGACGATGCACAGCATCTGGTGAGAGAGATGCGTCTACTTCCGGTGTAGTTTTTTACCATTTTATACCTTAAATGACGTCATTTCCGCAATTATTTAATAGGAATTGATTTGACTTACTTCCGTTTGCCGCCATTTTAGTCACCTGGGGGCGAGCGTGAGCGCGTGTGTGACCGCGAACGACATGTACGTGATGGTGGTTGGCGCCAAAGGGGACGAGTGTCTTCCGGACGACGAGCAGGTGGACCCAGAGCGTCGGATACCGGAGAAACTCGGACCCCGGCGAGATTCAAAACGGATGAAACGAGGCGTCATCATTTTGCGGAGGTCAACCTTTTACCTGACAACGGTTCCAGGGATGCGTCTGCCATTCACCTCCAAGCCGATGCTTGCCCCTGCAACGCCATGCTTTATTGAGCGTCTTAACACTCTTGACTGTCTAGCGCTGACCAAATAAGAATAGCAAAGTCAAGTGACTTTCCACTCAGCAAATTCTACGGAGGCTGCCTTTGAGCGTATCTTAGGCAGTGGTAGGCGTCATCAGACTGCGGAGGTCAACCNGGCGAGGCTCGAGCTGCCCTGCAGACGCAGCTCGAGCGCGCCCAGCGCCAGGTGCACACGCTCACGCACCTGCTCACAGAGCTGCGCGACCAGGTATAATAATCTATCTTTAAATGCGAAAGGTCACTGATTGACCGACTCACTCATCACGAAATCTCAGAAACTACAAAGGAAAATTTGAGTCTTCGAACCTCAAATTTTCCTTTTAGAACGTAGGTGCTCACTAAGACGGGATTTTGCAATATCAATCCCTAAGGGGGTTAAACTCCGCGCGTACGAAGTCGCGGGTGATCGCTAGTAATAATACAAAAAGCCTTTATTCGCTGACCTTTCTAACTAACTTAGCGCGACCAGGTAACACACGTGAATTCAACTTGAGACTGTGTCTTAAGCTATGTCTCCTCCTCCTGCGCAGCCAGGATCTACATCACCTCGCCCATCTACCCCTACCCACTCGTAATACACCAGTATCCTCCCCTATTTGCAATTGCGACTAGATACTCTCCACCACACACTTTATAATGAGTCTACATTTCAGGATTACATACTCTGCAGCCTCTTACGACTATTGTGGTGAACCCACTCGTTACACAAGCTTATTTAGCTTACCATGAGGTGTTATTGTTTCTTTGTCAAAGAGCCATCATCAACAGACGTCCACTGCTGAACATAGACCTCTCCCAATAATTTCCACATCGCCCGGTTGGCTGTTCAAAGAATACGCCACTAAAATCCACCTCATCCACAGATGACGGAGCAGAGAAAACAGAAGCAGCGCATCGGGCTCCTCAACTCAACCTCGGTGTACCTCCAGAACTTGCAGATGAACCTGCCTCCGTGAATCCGCACCTGCTCACACCAGGACACCCACACACGCTCACTACACTAGTGACGTCACCTTACATCTAATATGCTCAGTACAGTTTCATGCCTGCCTACTTTCAACACATGACGGCATCACAACTGTTGATGCTCAGTATTGGTTATGCTTGTAAAATTAGCAGTACAGTAGAATCTCGATTATCCGGATATCCGATTATCCGGACTCATTCTTCCCGGTTCTAATTACCGATTTAGGGTCTGGACCCATCAAAACGGCAAGGCGCTGCCACCGTAACACGGTACAGACGTCGTCTTGGTTCATTGTTATAAGAATTTGATACATCCAATGGTCTAAAATGATGTATTGTAAACCCTTTCTAATGTAAAAAGTTAATTTTTGTTTGATTTTACTTTGAAATCGATTATCCGGATTTTCGATTATTCGGAACACCCCTGGTTTTAATTGATCCGGATAATCGGGATTCCACTGTATGAATCAATTACACACGTGCTTTTTACACCCGTGACGTCATCGTACAACTTTACGCTCAGTATAGTTTCAAGCCTGTAAAATTTGCGGTATGAATCAATTACACACGTTCTTTCAACACTCGTTACGTCTTGCAACATCTTGCAAATATTTATGGTCAGTATAGTTGCTTGTAAAATTTGTAATATGAATATATTATACGCGTATTTTCAACACTCGTGACGTCATCGTACAAGTAATGCTCAGTATAGTTAATGCTTGTAAAATTTGCGATATGACTATTAATTTAGCTTTACATAAGCTTTAATGCCGTTTTACATTCTGTTGTTAAGAAGTGTTGTGAAAGTTAGTATGACCAAATAATTTATTTAGTTTTACTTGCTTGAGAAAATAAGCAACGTGTTGTATAAACTCGAATTACCATTGAAGAAAGGGTGCTTTTTAAGCTAACTTTTCTTTACACACGCATAAAACATGGCAATTGTGATATCAAATTGATTTAGCTATACTTTATCATCGAGAAGAAAGGTAAGTACGAGCAATATCTAATTTATATGAGCGGTGTGTGTCGTGTCTTATATTTTACCATCTTACCTCAACTTATCGCACAATCAAATAGAAATATTCCATTTCAAACTTGATAACTTCGATTTTCCGTGACACTAAATGAATGAAAATACCTACAGGTTAATATTGTTAGCGTGAGTCATACATAAGTATAAATTCCTATTCATAAAGATAGTAAGCTATCAATATATTCCACTTATGACGTTGTATTTAAAGATAAATACTAAAATTAAAGAGATATAAAGAAAACAAGATACAAAATACATTTTTCCTCCTGTAGGTATCTACACATATCTATGATATAGACCGCGTATATAGTTATATTGTAATTGGCCAAGGATTTGATCATTTAGAATCTAATTTAGATTAGATCTATTGAATATTTAATATAGAAACCCGGTTTCTAGTTTTCAATTAAAGTAATTGTTAAAACAAACGTAAAGATACTTGTTTTTTTAATGAAATAACGCAGAAAGTAAAGATTGTAATTTTTTCATTAGTGAAATATCCCAATAATATGTACTTAAATTGAATACCTAGAAATCGGGGACTCGATGATTTTCGCAAGAAAATCACGATTTTATGACTTTGATGACAAATAATGTAATGTTATATTTCAATATTGTAACTTTTCATACATTTCATTACAAGTAACTTGTTACATTACCTTTTCTCTAATCTTGTCTAATGTGATTCAAATATAAGTTGTTGAATTTTATTGAAGTTACATTTGAAACAATGTTATGCTGTATGAAACCTATGATGAATAATTTAGAACAAATGAATTTGTTTTAACTAGTGTTCATAGATTTAGGTGTGGATGTTTTTAAGTGATGATGATGAAGGAGCTTACGACTTGTTTTGTATATTCTTGTCAGAAATTTAATTTCTCCTTAGATTTTATATACAGATCGTAAGCATTATACAGGCAGATCAAAGCAATATTTTAAGTAGCTCCTTCGAATAACATGTGCAATCGAATAGCTCAAAACCGTTACCTAATCGTACTGTAGTTAGATAAAACGAATTTTATTTAATTATCCGGAGATCCGAGTCTATCTCTACAATGTTATCGTGTGAAATGTATACTTTTGTTGTGGTTGTCTTATGTGTTAAGGTGTTGCCATGTTGCCGCGAATATTGGACATAACAACATTTATACAAGAATGGATGCATTTTAATAGCATTTTTAGGTATTAAACTGGCCTCATATGAAGACACTGAATCACTGCATAGTGTCTAATTTTTGTTGAAAAGAATTTGTTGGACTTTTTCAATCCAATAAGTACAAGAAACATCTATAGTCAAATAAATAAAAGTTATGTTGTTTAATTTAGGGCTTATTTCAATCGCTATGCCATGAAACTTTTTTGAGAATAATTTTCACTTATTGACAGTTTATGGGGAAATATTGACATTGTTAACTATGTTCTTCAGGTCAAGGTTGTAATACCAGCCCTATGTCTACGAATATTCGCGGCAACATTATTTTTAAGCTAGTAAATAATTTGATTCGACTTAAAACGTGGTTGTTGGTCACTACAGGTTTGATGTACGAAATGATGCAGCTGTAGGCTGCAAAGTGAAGTATGCAATACTATTATAAGCCTTTTAAACTGTCGCCAAAATCACCTCGTACGTGGCGTTCATTTGTCATTATTATTTTTAAGTATGAGGCTTTGAAGATATTACAATGTTATAATATAACCGATTTCTACGTAATTCGTTTAAGTTCGAATAAGGTTCCTCGATGAAACACGTTAATATTTAGCACTCTGAGCATTACCCGTGTAAAGTTATGTTCATATTACCACGTAGTGTGCTAGGAGCGGGTTCTATATGTTTTTATGAAACTTATGCCCGTAATCACCATCAATACCTAATTTTTAAGTGACCCCCATGGTAACACATAACAGGAATTTTGTTTTCAATGGGGACACTTAAAAATTTGGTATTAATGGTGAAAAAGGGCATTAAAAACATAGTATTGGGTACGCCCTGTTTTCGCTACGTGGTATTATGAGTATATCATTAATGGTATAAAATATTCTCATGACGATACTACAATAAATTGTAGGTTTGAAAATTATGAATCTGTATTTGAGATCTAAAATATATGTAAATCAATCGAACAAGAAAATAAACACTGACTTACTAAACGATCTGTGCCATTCGAGCAATAGTAGCTAAGTCGATGTTTACCACGCTATTTTAATTTATGATATCATATAAATCGAATGTTTATATGCCAAATATTAGCAATTTTTGTTATTGTTTTTGTTGATCTGTTTATTTTTGTACTTAAATCTTGTCTCTCTTGAAATCTATCTCTCTTATATTGATCTTTATATAGCTATAACTTGTATATATTTATATTTATTTTACTTTTCGCGACCAAATTGTACTTACATTCCTGATTCTTCTTACACTGAAGTTTGCATTTATAGGGCAATTATAGTTAAATATATGTAGCAAAATTAGGACAAAACTCATTTTGAAAATTAGAAAATATTTCATAAAAATTAGACAGTGTTTGGAAATTCTTCTCAAAATATAATTTGACTTAGTTTTAACACGTCGAAATAAGTTTTCGAGTGAAAATTGTGTAAAACAAAAAACTCGTTTATATTGCAGAGCTTTATATTATTTTTATTTATTTATTTACTTCTATCAAAGTTATATTTTTAAAATTTTTATCAGTTACGTTCTAGTTTGTTTATTTATTGTATTCTCTCGGGAATCGATGCTGGAACTATTGCTGTAAGGACGTTCATGGTGATCGTTGACCAAATTTCAAATGTATCTATTTTTTCCTAGAAATCTATATTTTTATTACCACATCTTGTGAGTCTTTAAAGTTTATAGAATATATTTATCGCACGTTTACATTCCTATCGTATTTTTTATATTGTTTATGGTCTTCGAAATTCTAGCGAATCTTTCGGAAAATGTAAAGTTCTCGCTTGTGGGTAGGCAGCACAGCGGTAGTTAATAGCTCTATAGTCTATTATACTTCAAAACATAATTTTATAATTGAAAGTAATTAACCAGTTTTAAAATTCAAAAATGTTTTCGCTGTTGCTACACTCACAGCGGACCCTCTTCCTTAGACGTAGCCAAGGGCTTGTTCCGCTACGGTCTCAGCGTTTGCCCCTATAGGGTTCGAATGCGACCAACCAACCAAAGCGGAGCGACCGTAGAGTAGTAGGATATTGCCGGTGCGACGGCTGCAATAACGTGTTTTGTTTATAAATAAAAATAATGGCACAAATATATCGTTTCATTTGAATTTAACAGCTTTATCTTAACTGTAAAGTTGATTAAATACATTTTCCCACCCTACACCATCCAAGCTGTTCAGGTTTTACACATAAAACATATTTACATTATGTTTGGTTGAGTAAGTTATTGGACAGGCTTACAGAATGATACAACAATTATAAACATATCTAACAATAGGTACCTGGTTTCCACCAGTGACCAAAGTGGAGGGGATTGAAGATGTGTTTTAGAGTAGGCGCACACCGTTGATTTTAGTTGGCCGATAGTTGTGCCCGATTTTAAATTGTATGAATCGGCCAAATCGAGTCGGCGTAGTGTGCGCACTCCCATACATGCCCATACTGATCAACTACCCGACTAAACTATGGGCCGACGAAAAATCGGTGTGCGCCTACTCTTAACCAATAGTGTAAAAAAGTTTTCAAACCGAACATGAGAGGAGAGGTGATGTAGAAACAACAAAATCTGTTGGGTTCTTCAAACCATAACTGAACCATTTATTTTTACTGCAAATGTGAACACTACTAGCACTGCCTACTTAATAAGCTAAATATAAAAGTATTTATATGTCTATAATAACATTATTTCGATGAATTTGCGTATTGTTTATCACAAGGTGACTAGGACAGGATTACATTTTATTTCTACGATATGGACAGTTCACGTGCAAGCAAAGGTACACGGGAAATTCACTAATCTGTCTTTATAGATAGATACAATCCTTCCAGCGAAAGATATTATAAAAGGTGTGAATGCTCTGATAAAAGTATTATCTTTTCGATAAAACCCCGTTCGACATTTGTGGACGGACATCGAAGCGGCATCATGCGTCTGACATTATTGTTTTTAGCCATTTTCTCGTGTAAGTTTTGTGTTCAGTGAAAATACTTCCAAGGGATTTTTTTATGTTGTGTTAAAATGTGAAGTCGGGTGTGGCTCTAGTGTAGTGTTATTAAACGTAATTCAGTAATAAATGTGGTTTGGAGTTTGAAAGTGTCTAAGCTATCGCTGTCTAAGTGCATAAAATTTTCACGTCTTTAATTCTTTATTAGCCCTTTATTAGATTTCGAATCTTATTACGTTGAGCATAAAGTTTAGGTACATTATAATACTTTTAGTTACCTGTAAGTACTTAATGAGCTTTTTTTACAACTATGAATATTGAAGCGATTCGCTTGTGCATCCAAACAGCTGTTAATTTAACTCTTTCTCTCTTATAAATAAAAAGGGAAATCCCAGTTTCGTCAACTGAAATTCTTTCAAAAAACATACAAAAGGTGATGCGTGACATTAGACAAGGCCTCTATAGCCCAGTGGTTCGACAGTAGGACCCAGAGGTAATATGTTATATTCCCGGGTGAGACATTGAACAAATAAATATCTCACAACAAATGAGTGCAATATTTTGTAAGTACATAATAAGTATTTGTTCCTAGTTTGACCTGAAACCACTTTTTCCATTCCACTTGCGTTTACACGATTAATAAAGAAGATTAGACAGTAAATAGTAAACTTTTATAGCACGGTCAAATACTTTGGTTTAAGCATCATCCGGAGTCCAGACAAACTTGCTTGATCATACATGGACGAAATTGTAGTAAAATTAAATTAGTTTAAACTTCTCTGTAGTTTAAAATAAATACAGGTACCTAGGTAATTTACGTGTGTGATAAATTATTATCATTACTTATGATGATTCATATTTTTCGCAATAAGTAGAGATACTTGTTAATAAGTATCAGACCTCTTAGACAAAGTCAACATTCTTGCTTGATAGCTAAATTGAATGATAATTTCGCTACGTTTTTTTTTACGTGCACAGCACACTACATTTTGGTTGCAGTTATTATCTACGTAAGTTCTCAATGTTAAGCAATTGTTTTGTTAATTCGTAGTAAGTAACTTTATATTTTTGAGAACTGAGGAGAGACTCCTGAAATTTTATCCTTGAATCTAAGTTAAGTAATTACCATCATTTCTGAACACATGTACCTAAGCCATTTGAATGAAATATTTCAATGTAGGTAAAACAAATTTCGATTCTGATAAGATGGATTACAATACTAATTTAATAAACAGATAATAATTCTGGCTACCTTTATCAATCAAAATTAGTTAGGTTGAAAGAAGGCTATTGAGCCCTTCTAAGGAAATAGAAAAATAGTTGAGTTATTTTTAGAGACCATCCTAAGTTCCCTGAATAAATACATAAAGGTGAGTGATCAGAATATGCCATGAGCATGTAAAAATAGTCTTATCAATGCTTACCTGTGGGCACTCGAACATTGATAAAGATAATTATCGTGTTATTTACTAATCAGTGTGCTTGTGTCTGTTAGCGAATCGAATCTTGATTAATTGGATGGAATACCCCGATAATTAATACTAAAACCACAGAATAATAACAAGTACTGCTAAAACTTAGTAAATTCGTGAAAATCAATTAGGTCATTCCTTCATTTCATAAACTTTGTTATAAATCAAGTATTTCTTCGAATTCTTAAAAGGTGTGGGTTGAGGAAGACAGAAATAGACTGCAAACTTGTACTGTGACACATTTGAAAAGCAATGAATTCTTTCTAAAACAAATTCAATAGTTTTCAAAACCATAAGCGACGATAGCCGAACGGTAAAGGTATCAGACTGAGACTCTATATCCGAGGAACGCTGGTTCCAACCAGCCTCCGCTGGACTACTATTAGTAATTTTTGAAATTTAAATTACTAATAAAAAGTTTTGCTGTTCAATCGTTTACTTAACGATAGCAGTTTACAGTCAACTACAATGATAAACTTTTCCTTTCAGTGTCCCAATCGTGGGCGTGGGACTCCGAGGCAGACACGCTGAATGTGGTCGACTTATCCCAGGTTAACCCGGACTCCCGCATCATCGGCGGGACGTCCACCACCATTGAGCGGTTCCCCTACGCTGTGCAGGTAAGAATCATTCTAGGTCAGGGATGGCGAACCTATGGCACGCGTGCCATTGATGGCACGAACCACAATATGTAGGGCATGCCACCAATCACCCCAAAATTCACTATGAAATAAAATAGTAAATAATAAAAAAGGGCCCTCATCTATCGTATACTATTTATTACTCACATCAGTTGGCGCCACTGTAGAATAAGGTGCCAGAGTGGTGCCACTGGTACGATGCTCCCTCATTGATAGCATCAAATGGCACGTCTACGACTACATCAAAATTGTTTTTAAAAGTGGCACGTTGCTACATTAAGGTTCGCCATCCCTGTTCTAGGTACTTAATCATAATAAGTTTAAGTAATTAATTATACAAGGCGGCCAGGCAAGAAATGGTCGCTTACTGTGGGCCTCGTAAGAAGGCTCAAGGTCATCCAAAGGGCGATGGAGCGAGCTATGCTCGGAGTTTCCCTGCGTAATCGAATCAGAAATTAAGATAACCAAACCAGACAGTGACAGATATAGCTTGCAGAATCGCTAAAATTAAGTGGCAGTGGGCGGGGCGTAGAGATGATGGCCGTTGGGGCAGAAAAGTTTTTCGAGTGGCGACCACGGGCCGGAAGACGTAGCGCGGACAAGCCCCCCACTAAGTCACGGTAATACTAAGTGGACCGACCTTAATTTCGAACTCCTATGTTCTTCTGATTAATTTCGTTGCGGGTCCAATGACAGTTTAACTTTCCCCCGGGACAAACTTGACCTTCATTGGCGGCCAAGCTGTAGATCCTGGCTACACAGGAATTGCAGTGGTGGGAACGAGAGGTGGGAATAGTACCGTTTAAGTGGACCGACGATCTCGTGAAGATTGCGGGAAGAACCTGGATTCTGACAGCGCAGGCCCGGTTATTATGGAAATTCTTGGGGGAGGCCTCTGTCCAGCTCTGGACGTCATTTGGCTGAAATGAATGCACGATCAAGACCTATACTTCACATTATTCAATAAATAAGTAAAATATTATTTTCAGGTTCAAAGAAGCAATCAGCTGACGTGTGGCGGGACGCTGCTCACAAACAGAGCTGTGCTCTCGGCCGCGCACTGCTTTGTTGATAGGTGAGTATCATGTTAACGCACAAAATAAGTATAGACTAGAGCAGTGTTCCGCAAAGGCAGTGTAAATACAAATGAGTAGGTCATCTTCATAGAAACGCACCGAGCGCGGTTTGTATGTGAGCGCGAATGGATATTTGGCGCCACACCCCGCTAATCCACGCTAAATTTTGTCAGTGTGTGCGTGCGCGCTGCATACGTATTGGCGCGCTCATATATGTACAAACCGCGCTCGGTGCGTTTCTATGAAGATGACCTACTCATTTGTATTTACTCTGGCAAAGGATCCGCGGCACACTGGTGTACTGTGGTCATTATTAGATGGTGTGCCTCGGAAAAATAAGGTTATCTTTTAAACTTATTTTTAGTAAATACGTAAGGGTAAGAGTAAGACTAATAAAGGTAATTCAAACTCAAAAATTGATTTTTCATGTGTGCCTCGAAAAAAATTATTTTTCCTAGAGGCACGACATCATAAAGGTAGCAGGAAGGCGCTGGACGCAGGCCGCTACCAATCGATCAACATGGAAAACATTGAGGGAGGCCAATGTTCAGCAGTGGACATCCTATATCTGAAATGACGATGATGATGAAACTGATATTCTGTCGGAGTCAGATCAATTAGCAATTGATATTTTAAACAATTACTTATTTTCAGATTTACACCCAGGCCAGACCCGTCGCAGTACACCATCAGGGCTGGTACTGCGCTACG